GGGGTGGTGCCCCAACCCCCCAATCGGCCCTGCTCTGAGCCCGGCCAGGGGCTGCACCTAGGGATTGGGCCTGCCCTCTGCCACCCGGGAGCAGGCCTAAGCCAGCAGGTCGTTATCTCCCGAGGGGTCCCAGACTGCGAGAGGGCACAGGCCGGGCTGAGTGCACAAATTTTTGTGCACCGGGCCTCTGTGATTAAATAAATGATCATATAAATGTTATGGATATGATACAGTTATTTTAAAAGTATGAAATAATTATGAAGTTATCTAATGGCCCATTAAAGAATGCACATAAACAAGCTGGAAGGCCCTAGCTTGTTTGGCTCAGTGGATAAAGCATCAATCTGCAGACTGAAGGGTCCTGGGTTTGATTCCAGTCAAGGGCACATGCCCGGAACATTTCTAGGGTACCATGCCTTTATCAGCCTGGCCTGCTTTCATCCCAGCTGGGTAGACTCCAGGTGAGTTTAGTAGAAGAGTCCCCATACTGACCCAGCTCCTATCTCACCATAGGAAGATCTGAGGCCCAGGTATGAAGTACTAATGGGGACCCTGGAGTAATGAGTTGCAAACTGCGTCCTTGAAACTCTCCTCACACCAATCCAGGGGCCCTGGGCAATGATTACAGGAAGACGTGAGAGAGGAATGGGAAGAGGCAGCATGAGCAGGGGTGAGGGCAGCCCTGGTCATGGTGTACTATCTCTGGGCACAGCTTCCCTAAATGGAAAGTGAGGCTTGGCCTGGACACTCGCCAGAGCCCTGGCTCAAGCACACTGGGATTCTACCAGCCAGTCACCACCTTGGGCTTAATGAGACTGTAGCCCATTCCACAGGCTCTGCTAACATGACACCAGAGGAAGGCTCTGATGTACACTGGGTCAGAGTCGGCCTGACAACCATCTATTCTGGGAGCTAGCCTTTAGTCTTTCAGGCCATGGAGCTCAAAGGGTAGATGGTCTAAGCCTTACTGCTCAATGGCATCCCATTCATTCTTATCAGTTTTCAAATGATGCAGACAACCTGTTTACTCCTTAAATCAGTAGGTGGTGAGATGGTCCTGGCTATCCTTCCACTCAGCCCATGCCAGGTCCCCATGGCAGGGAAGGGCTGGGGTTACCAGCTGACCCTCCCCAGTCAGGAGCTTCTCCACTGTACCTGTACCCTGTACCATCAGCACCATAACCTGTACCCTGAGCACCATCACCTCCAACCCTGGAGAAATTTAAAAGACTCCATCTTTCCAACCAGAGTGCAACCTCCCAGATTTAAAATTTCTGAATGTGTACTAGAAGACTACAAAGTATATATTTCCCTACTTATCCAAATGATTATGAAAATAAATTACAAATCCAATATTTGCCATTCAAGTTCCAGGGACTTTAAAAGAAGTCATGATCTGCACCAGCATCAAGAAGCATCTAGAGTAAGCATGCTTTATGTTCCGCTTTAACAAAGTAGCCAATCTGCCCATAAAGGAAGATTTTATACAACAATGTAGGGGAGAGCTAGGCACAAGGAAAGGGCCTGAGGCTTAAATGGTGAACGTGGGGAAGAAAAGGGAAGGAGGGTGGATGCAGAAGAACAGGAAGGAAAGGGAGCACACTGGAAGGTCTCAGTTGTGAACAGGGAGACTAGAAGGTTGACAATGTCAAGTTAGGCTGCTTCCTGGACAGAGGGTGAGGCTCTGGGGAGAAGGCAGGAATGGAGGCAGAGATGGGCTCCTTCACTGACAGTAATAACCTAGTAACCAACGATGCTGGAAGAAACAGGGATCCCCAGAAACAAAACAGAATGAGAGAAAGGCGAGAGACTAAATTAGATTTATGTCTAAGAGTGAAGAGGAAGCAGCAGGACAGAAGCAAATAGCACACTCGGGAGGCAAGTGGGGTACACGGCTCCAGGGCTGCAGAGCCAGAAGTGTGAGGACTGAGGGGAGCCTGTGAGCTTGGTGTGAAGCAGCTTCAGGAGGGTGGAAGAAACTGGGAATCACAGGCTGGAGTTAGTACAGAACAAGTCTCTTTGAGGGGTAAGGAGCTGAAAGGATGGAGAAAGAGCAGACACTAAACCAAGAAGGTAGTAAGGTCACAGGACAGCTGTTCTTAGGAGGAGGTCGGAGCCTGTCTAGAAGCAGAAGTCAGTGAAACAGGGAGCTGGAATCAATGGGGGCAGACACGGTGGAATGAGTTGCCAACTGCGTCCTTGAAACTCTCCTCACACCAATCCCGGGCCCTCACTTCTAGTTGTCCTAAGAGATACTGGTGAGGGGAACAGGTGGGCCTCGAAGCAAAGAGATTTGAGACAAATGGGAGGCACACACTGGAGGGTACCAGGAATAAAGCCTGGAACACAAGTGTGCAGAGGGTTAGAGACACGGATGAGGGTTAGGGCCCAGGCAGGAAAGCACAGAGAAGATCTAGATGGGAACACCCGCCATCTCCCAAAAGAGGTCAGAGAAGGTGGCTGTCTAGCCACCTGAGGTCGGGCCCAGAGAAGCCAGGGAAGATAGAGCACAGACACGCACACTCTACTTCTTTCCCGGATTGGTAACAACAGACCTGGAAAGCTCGGGACACCCAGAATGTTACAAAACCAGCGCAAAGTTGGGATTCTACTCAGGTGCCCAAGGCTGTAGTCCCTACCTTAGTACCCGCCGCTGTGCATCTGTTGGTTGCCTACACTAAGTCTCCTTAGGAGTTAGAGAGGCAAGCCCAGCAGCACACACATCACCTGGAGAAGAATGTGATAAGAAGTGAAGTGTTCAATACTCACAGGAACAATAAGCCCTTGCCAAGTCAATAAATTAGCTTCATCAACCTGGATGTTACGGAAGTTTTTCATTCCACATTTGCGGATTTCTTCAAGCTCCTGTTGATTGACAAAGCATAAATGGGTGTCAAACAGAGGAAAGCACCACATATTAAGACTCCCTCAAATTAAAAACTGAGTGCCAGCACCACCAATGATAACATTTCACTGTGGACTAGACCATGCCTGGTCTGGTTAAGAGGCCCAGAGCCATGGCGGTCCCCTCAACCCATGCCCCAGACCAAGACAAGTCCCACCGTGGTAAACCCACAGTACTCAACAGGGTAAGTGACTGTGCTCCTACAAAAGCACTGCCTCCTCTCTGGGCTGTCACCACACAACAGGGGCACAAGAAAGGTACTACAGACCTGCTTTCTAACCGAGATTTATTAAGCACTGACTATGTGTCAGTCGGCGAGGATATAAAGGTGAATAAAGTGGGACCAGGAGAACACACATACCCACAAAGTTTTCTACCCAACGCTGTAAGTGCGATTTCAGGGCTCCACCTCAGCATGGGCACACAGCGCAGAGAACAACTATCCAGTCTGGGATGGGAGGGGGACAGAAAACCTTCACTGAGCCTCGGTTTCCTCAGCTGCAAAACAGGGATAGCAAGACCCAGAGCTGTAGACAATGAAGGGGAAACCACGTTGTAAGCAACAGAACTCCTTGCAAATATCAGGGATTATTATTATACAGTCAACACAGCCAACACCATCTCATCCGGAAAGAATGACCACCCTGACTACTTCAAGGCCCTGCCTGACATGTGTTTGGTTTAGAATTGTCTATCAACTATGCACCAACCAGACATTTCCCGCTGTTTTCCCAATAACTCAAGTGAACATCCAATAGGTGTTAGAGCCCAGCGTCCTCCATTCTCAGATACCTGGAGTGACGTGCTGCCCCCCAACTCCCCAATCTGGCCACTCATCCATGGCACAACAGCCTCCTCTACATCTTTTGAGTGCCTTCCCTTCTGCAACCCTGGAGCACCACCCAGCTGAGCCCGCCTCCTCTGCTGCACTGGAAGGACAGCCTACTCACTGGTCTGGCTTCCTCCTTGGTGGTCCAACCCGTGAACCCCACCAGACCTGGAAGGAACCTCCTTGTTTTGGTGCTCTGGCTCACAATGGCATGGAGGCTCTGAATGAGTCCCCACATCAAATCCACAAGGTACCTATACCCCCTATTCCGATCACACAGCTGACAGTTTACAAGGCACCCTAAGGACACAATTCCCAAAGAAGGGCAACTGAGCCAGTGCTACAGGTTCTAGGTTGGAGGATGTGCGATGCCTGGCATGGAGTGGGCTGAGAAAGACAGCATGTCGAATGAACATGCAAGAGACAGGGGGCCACAGTGGCACCTCAGGGCAGATGACAAGCCCAAATTTCTTCCCATAGGGTCCTGCTGCTTGTTCAACCTTAGCTACCCACTACAACTGTCTAGGTCTGGGCCCCAGCCTGGAAAATTCTGGTCCAGCAAGTGTAGGGTGGTGAAGTTTGAAACGGATTTTAAACAAGCTACAGTGGACGAGAGCCACTGCCACTGAGAGACTGAATTCCATGTCTAAGCAATGTGCAGCTTCAGTGAGGGAAGATGCTAGCGGCAATGGCTGTGACCCCTGCAGTGGGGGAAGGGGTGGTCTGGACCCTTTTCCTGAGCCTGCAGGAGGGAAAGCATGGAATCTGACAGACCACTCAACCTGCTAACTAGTCCTACTAATGCCTGGGACTCATCAGAAATGCTCACCTGGGAATTAGGCACTCTGGGCAGATTAAGGAAGGGGAAAAGATTGCACACCCATACGACCACCTCGGCCCACTCCTCTCCAAACAGAACATAAGCTCTGTGAGGACAGGTGTGAGGACAGGAATCAGGAAACCTCAGAAGTCCCAACACTTCAGGATAGTGAATAGATGGGAAGCTGGGGCTTGGGGAAGGAAAGGGGACTCTGGGATGGGAAGGGATCTCTATGTATTTTGATTTTCTGGTACTTGGCTCAAGATATTAGAGTTAAGATGCATGGCTAGAGACAAAAGTTATCATGTCCTTAAGGGCCAAGTCCTACCCAGCTATCAAAAATGTAGACAGGAAAAAATTTCAGATAGAACTTCGAAATTAGACAATCAAAACCGAAGAAACAACAGGAGAATATATTCAATATCCATGGGACAAAATACATTTTAAAATATGAAACTATATTTTGACTTCAGAAATCCATATACTAACAACATGAAGTATGGATGATAAATACAAGAATGTAAATTTCAAAAGAATTACAAAAATATGCCAAGATGGGGGTCAACTGCAATATAGCAGTGAAAAACTGAATCTTATATAAAAAAAGGAAAAAAACAACAAAAGAAAAATTGCATCTTGTTCAAGAGAAAGGGAGGAACAAGTGAGCACTGTGCATAGGGGTGAGGAAAAGCACCCACTGGTGCTTTGATAGCAAGAGATACATGAACAAAGACTAAAGTCATACTGTGGGGGAGGAGGCCACACACCTCCTGGCCAACGAAAAGGCAGCCCTAATGGCAGCAGGGCTGGGAGGCTCAGGGAATCCAAAGTGCAACTACCAGAAAAACATTCACCTTACCTTGCTCTCAAGCTAACCTCACCAAAGACGGAAGAGGCAACATTCTTTGCATAATTCTAACCAACAAGGAAGTACTAATTATAAGACAGAAGTGAAAGAAACCAAGACAAACAAACAAGCAAGTCCGTCCCAAATCTCCAGGGGACACTGGGCAGCCCCCTAGGACAGTGTTTCTCAACAGGGTGGTGGCAGCATCCAGTAGAACTCAGCACTTGAGCATCTCCGCCCCGCCCATTAGATGCCAGACATTGTGATACCACCCCACCCTGATTTCCCAATGTCCCGAAGAGTCCAGTTGTTGAGAACCATTGGCACTACCAGGGGCCAGGTTGCTAAAAGTCCTGCATTGCACAAGACGATAGTGCAGACAAGAACTATTCAACCCAAAATGCCAATGACACCTCCACTGAGGAGAACAACATAGAGAAGATGGATTCAAGTCATTCAGAGAAAAGACAGATTCATCTGAAGGTATGAAACTCGAAAAGGCAAGATGACTCAAGAGTACTGACAAACCCTCAAGCAAAACTGCACCCCTGTACTGAGAATGAGCCTGAGAATGAAGAACTGGGGAAGGAATATAATGAAACCAATGCAAACTCAGAGTTCAAATTTCAAATGATGGATGAAAGGACCCAACGAAGAAAAAGTGAGAGAGAGGGCACTCCAGAAGAACAAAGTCAGGAAAGCTATAGCCAAGAATGACAGAAATTTTACAAAATATGCCCCACAAAGGTTTGTTTCAGTTCTGCTCAGAGCAAGAGGCAGTCCCGTCAGCTGCTCGGGGCTGACAAACCAAGAGCTCAAAGGAAAGCAGAACCAGGCAACTCACACGTTTCTCCTCGTGGGGGTAAGCAGGCTGCCCAGCCAGGGTAAGTGATGAGGGAGGAAGAGCAATGCTTCTCACAATGAGGTCCATCTCTGACCCCACATGTGGATCTCAGTGTATTGCAGCCTAGGTATGCTTATCAGCTCTTCAAAGGGGGAAAAGCTCATTCCCCACAAACTGCAGCTCAGAGAGCTTGATGCTCACTCCCGGTCAAAGTGTGGCATGCAGCAGAGAAGAGCCACTGCCTAACAGCTCTGCAGGCACCAACAGGGAGGTGGCCTTGGCCCCAGCAGGAGTGCACTGCTCCAAGTCCTGCACAAAAGGCTCAGCTCAAACAGTGAGAGACAGGGTACAGTTGTACACAGTAAGCACTCTGTCACACAACTCAAATGTGTGCAACGAAGTTTGGGCAAAGTATTTATAGTTTGTGGCCGCGGTCCTCTTTAAGAAATCCAGACAGGAAAATCAGCTGTGCAAGTCAGGGCTGCTTCACGTGTCTTAACTCTACTCTGGACCAGCAGGTCTCAAGGTAGGGGGTGATAGTAGTTTTCAAAAGCATATTCCTTATCATTCTGTAATTTTCATTTGCAAAGTAGGAAAAGGTGCTCTGTGCCCCAAAAGAACTACAGGAAGTAAAGCTGAATGCCATCTTCTTGGCTGTTGAGGCTGGACTGAGAGAGAGAAGCGCTGCTCTGTAGAAGCCTGCAGGTAAGAGCATGGGTGGCCCAGCAGGCAACAGCAGAGGGTAACAGCTTCATAGAAGAGAAGCTCTGAGATGGGCCTTGAATGATGGGAGAAGCCGAACTTCTAGAGAGAAGAGAACAGGCATTTGTGTGTGGGAAATGTACTCAAAAACATTAGAAATCACAGGGGAAAGTTTTAGGGAAGTTTTAGAGTTTGGCTAGAGTGAGTATTAACTTTGGGGACTTCTCCAGGGTATGTGCCCAAGCCCCTTAGGAAGTTATTCAACACCCATGGAGAGGTGGGGGTGTCAGGGGCAGAGGGGGTAGAGGAGGAGGGAAAAGAAAGATGGACTTGTGCCCAGGCCCCCTATAGATCTGCAGAATCAGAACCTCCTGAGTTCAGCTGAGCACTTGTGCCTGGGGATCCTCAGGTGACAATGATATGCACCCTGCTTAAGAACCACCGCACTCATCCAACTGGAGCCTTCTAGCAAGGAAGACACTGAGGCCCTGATTTAGTGCCATTTCCAGTTAGAAATAAGCTTCTAAAAGAGCTAACATCGCCCCAGCTGGTTTTTCTCAGTGGATAGAATGTTGGCCTATGGACTGAAGGGTCCCAGGTTTGATTCTGGCCAAGGGCACATGTTGGGATTGTGGGCTTCATCCCCAGTAGGGGGCATGCAGGAAGTAGCCGATCAATGATTCTCTCTCATCACTGATGTTTCTATCTCTCTTCCTCTCTGAAATCAATAAAAATATACTTAAATACATACATACATACAAGAATTAACATCTATCAGGGCCAGGTGCATGGAAACTATATAAGTTCTGAAGTTGTGTTTTTTTTTTAAAGTGAATACTGCCCTGGCCATTGTGTGATTCAGTTGGTTGGGTGTTGTCCCGTGTACCAAAAGGCTGCTGGTTTGATTACTGGTAAGGGCACAGGTCCAAGTTGTGGGCTCAATCCCAGGTGGGAGGTGTGCAGGAGGCAGCCAATCAATGTCTCCTTCTCACATTAATGTTTCTTTCTCTCTCTCTCTCTAAAAAAAAATCAATAAAAACAACTTTAAGGAGTGAATGCTGATTGCAGCTTACAGCGCTTATTTTACTGTTCTCTATTCTGAAGATCCCTATAGGTAATAGGATCAGAATATCCCAATCTCCAACCATGCTCTTCAATATTTATTTTACATATTATACATAGAAATACTATTTGATCTGGCAGACGGTTGCTTCAACAGCTGCCAAATAATCAGTGGACTATAAAGAGCAGAAGCTTCTGGGTCAGGCAGGGCTGGCTCAACCCTACCAGCCCCACCCTCCACACCAACCTGAAGCTCCAAAAAGTCTACCATCTTACCTGAAAAAAATGTAAGAAACCTACTTCACAGGGCCCTAATGAAAATTACAAAAAATGTTATATGGTGCTTAACACAACACCTCTGTAAGTACTCAATTAATGGTAGTTTTACTCCCT